GGGGGCATGCAACAGAAATCGCCGACCGAGGAATTAATAACACGCGACGACACGACGCGAATCGAAACCATAAAGTTGATCTGTGCGCGTTTGTTCGCGGGAACAAATAAACATCGCGTTGTGTGTAAACACCGCGTTACTATTTTCAGTTCCGTTTTATGATCTACACACAAGTTTCGCAGTTTCGAGAGTTTTTAATATCCCGCTTCACAACGTATTACCTCGTATACAATGTAAACACAAATTTAATAATAAACACACGTTACATAAACAACTTTGTTTGCAAATAATTTACACGCACAAAGCGCAATATTACCTAACCAGGAAGTAAACTTGAGAGATCAAACGGCGTTAAAGTTACGGTTATAGTTGTCGTGCGACATCTTGGGTGCGTATCGATTGAATTGCGCTCACATGCGACAACTTTGATCGCGTACTAAATTATCGCGCAAATCTAATTATATACGAGTCATCTACCCTTACATGTGCGCTATCCCCGGGGCACGTCTAGCTTATAGCGCAATTTTCACGCTAGATCGCTGATCGAACTTTCCCTATCCGTCTCTCTCCCCGCGGGAGAGGGTCGCATTTCCAGTCCTCGGACCGAACTCCCGTCGGCGCCGTTTCGTCTGGGTTGTTTGCAAACGTCGACCGCGCAATCAGCATTAACACACGAACGTTATATGACGTACCGCCGAGCGATTCAAAAGCCGCGTTCGAGCGCGCGCAGCGATACTAATTTTGTTGGAGCAATTTCGAAAATGTCCCTTTCCGCGATAATTACATTTTCCCGTGCGATCACGAACGAATTATGTGGCCTACGTTCAAAACGAGAGCAATGCATTTCGATCGATAAAATAGATTCTAATGTAAAGTTTGAATTTTGGTCGGCGCGAGAGAGACGTTTTGTTGCGGGGAATATAATTGATAAATTTTCGATAATATTGCGATAACATTAATTAAAGTGATATTTTTTCCTCGAACAATTTAACGTTACAACGCGTTCTAACGTTCGGTATAAATTTTCAGTGTAAATTATTTAATAATTTTTGATCAAATCGCAGAAGCGCGGGAGAGATTTACGCGAGAGAATTTACAAAACTGAAATCAATAGCGTCGCCAGATGTTGTACGCATTGTGGGCGCGACATATACGCGCGCTCGGGGAGAGTCTCCAAACGAGATTATAAATATGCTAAAGCATACGCGGCTCTCTAAGTATCTCGAAGACGCCGCACGGTCTGTAAGCGTTTCGCGCGCGTCCCAGAACATGGGAGCGTGGATCTCGGGTCTGCACTTTGCCACAACTCGCGCCAATCTCTTCGTTTTTTTTTTCTCCCTTTTTTCCGCACGAAAAGTGGAGCGAATACCGGGCGACCTTCGCGCCAAGTTCGCGGTCTCGTGAAGTTTTAAGGAAGATCGCTCACGAGAGCAGTTTGAAGAAAAATGTTTGACTTGTTGTCGCCATCGGATAAACATACATCGTTGTTTGTCGGCGAAGTTTCGACTGTTATACGGCCGTTATAGTTTACGAGGTGACACGCTCGACGTCGCGCCCTCGACGGAGAAAGCCACTGTCTCCAAAATTCTCACGTTTCGAGAAAATGATACCGTACGGGAGGCAGTGCTGTATCATTAAATCTTATCTATCACGGTACATTGTGTGTGAACGCACACATTCTTCTTCGCGCACAAGTTGTTTCAAAGACCGTACGTTTTCACCGAATTCGCTTTACGCGAGCGATAAATTTCTCGCATTAATTTTAAGATCGTTATAGTTATTTTTGGTAAATAAAACTCCGACCGAAGGTTTAAATTCGGAAAACAATCCTTTTACGGAATAATACGGAAGATAGGTATCGAGTTAGCCATTGATGGAGGACGTATCGAAACGGAAGAATCTTTCCGGATCATTAACGGATAGCGTAACTGCTGTCGAAACTCATTAGGAAAGCCGAAAAGTATCGACCGGGCGCCGCACGTGACGGCGATACTTATCTACGGTACGGCGAGCGCAACAAATTATCGATTTCCGCATTCAAACGGTACCTGATCTTCCTTCGCACGGCGAAAGAACTCGAAGCGATTGATAATTTCGACAGTTGACAGTTTTCCACCTCGCGAGACGGGCAAAGCGATCGGTAAAAATATAGAGGCCACTTTCCTATTCCGAGACACGTGCGATTATCCGCGTGCGTGTTTTTAACGTCGCAAAAGAATTGAAGAAAGTTCACAACACGCGACCCTCATAATTGTCGTTCTTTCTCTTTTGTGTTCCCCGGTCGCACGTGTGTGCATCTAAAGATTTCACGATCCGGCGGCGCAAACGATATTGTTACACACTTTCTAGAAACTTTTATTATCTGATCTACGAGATCTACGATGCACCCGTTTCCTCTCGACGATGCGCCCTCATACGTCGGTGATGCGTTTCTCTTCTGCGCGTTTTACGAATTGCGAGCAACAAACGTTATGAGAGATTACAAGAAATAATCTAAACTCGCGTCCAATCGGCGGAGCATTTATATACATGCGAAATATATTTTTCAAACGTGTAAATTAACATCTCTCTCGTGATAGATTTCCGGGAGTGGTTTTTTTTTCGCAACGAGTGTTTTTAAATTTCACATGAAGGTAAAACGGGCAATTTACACACATGAGATGCAAATTAAACGTCTTGGAATGAATTTCCGAATTTAAATCAATTCGAACTTTTACGCGTGTATTAATTTACACGTTTAAAAAAAATTTATACATAAAAAAATTATATAAAAAAATTATATATTAAATTTATATATAAAATTTATATAAAATTTATATATAAATTTATATAAAATGTATATATAAATTTATATATAAAATTTATATATAAAAAAAATTTATATATAATTCACTCATACCGGCATATCGGGGTCGCATTAAATTCTTTGCTAAATGTATGAAATATCGCGCGTACACGTACGCGTTCCGGTAACGCGGAATCTCTGTTCAAAGAAATATCTGACGGAAACGATTTTCTCGGTTGAAACAATTTATCAATACCGCTCGTCGTACGTGCCTACATATGTATATCGTACGTTGCGGCACGTGGTTCGCAAGCGATCCGTATACATACATATGTAACACTCGACGTCCGATATACGTATAAACGCGGTAATTTACTGACCGAAAGAGGACAGAACAAACAAACAAACAAACAAACAAAAAAAACAAACAAGAACGAAAAGCAAATTCAATATGCTTTTCGTCGATTCGCGACCCGCAATTAAACAACAAACTTGGAGAGACTAACGGTTAAATCTCGAATAAATAAAACGTTTTTTTCCTCCCGAGAAAACTCCCGAGTTTTATTTATACGACGTAATCACGCGAACTCTTCATACTTTTCGCTAATTGTTGATCGGTATCTTCGCGACAGGAAAAAAAGCGAGGAAACATCCGTTCTTAATTGCCGAAGAAAATCGATCGATTTCGTCCTCCCTCCCGGTGAAAACCAGAGAGACGGACTCTTACTTTTCAATTAATGAAAAAAAAAAAAGAAGTTGGCAAAAAATCTGCGCGAAACAAGTTATCTCGATTACGTAAGAGAGACGGTTGCTTCTTTCGAAAGTGCGGATAGCAGTTGCCTCTCGCGACGAGATGGCTTTTAACCTTTTCACCGTTGCAAATGTACGTATATTTACCGAGTTTGAATATATATATAGTCGCACATAAAATGTGTCCACGCACACGTTCTTAGTAAATAATTCCACCTTGCAATTGTTTATCTCGTATAAATAATATCGCGAATGAATAAGTTACACGTAAATGGCGTGTAAAATCAATGAGAGAAACATATTTCCAGTTGAAATAGATCTCCTTGCTGTTGCAAGCAAGGGCGCGTTTCGACTTTTGTTGCTGATCAACAATTAAAAAAACTAAACGAACAATATAAACACTATTTTATCTTAATAAAATGTTTATAAAAAATATTTACAGAGACTTTTATTCTATCTGTTTATATTATTTTTACATTACTTTAAATCAACGTTTCAGTTGTTCGGTTTGCTCTTTTCAATTGTTGATCAACTATGAAAACGTTAGCGTCTTAAATAGAGAAGAAGGAAAACTACGATCAATGAGCACCTCGAGCGTTTAAAAATAACGAATGCCATTTGCTAAAATTTACTTTACCTGGAGAGTTCGCCTTTCTGGATCGCGGCATAGAGCCCGGACGAAATGCGGATCCAAGTAGTCCGTCATAATATAGTCCGTGAGCGACTATATTTCGATCCGTTTTCTAACAGCTCTCGCGTAGTTCCGTGTCCCGCTCAAAGACTTATTTCTGAACATTGCCGCTCACCACCGCCGCGAACTCCGCGATCTCCTCACGCGATACTTCGCCGATCATTTAAAAAACAAAAAAACAAAACAAAAAAAACAACAAGCCACTCGATGCTGTCAGTTCTCAACGCGTCGCATTTTTCTCGCGAGGAGGACGTTCTCATCGTCGATCATATCCAATTTCACCGACCGCATTACGCGCGATACGAGTAAATTACGAGTCACGGGGAAACGCGTTTCGCATATAGCGCGGAATGTTTTCGCGAATAAGCGTCTCGAATATCTTGTTAGCGTTTTCTTCGTGATTTCTTTCCGACGACGGAGTACGTGGGACTATTCTGCAACAAACTGTAAATAAAAATACACACATAAGCTGGATGATCGCATTACATATGTAAGTGTTTTTCATGCTATCTGTTAGATTTTACATGTATGTATGCATTATGTCGCACCGTTACATAAGTTTTTCGCATACTGTTCCCGCGTGCACTTTCGCAAGAAAATGACTAACGAGCTTATCTCTCGCAGCGCGTACAAAACAAATAGAACTTATCATTCCTGGTGCGCGCGAACGCGAATTTCTCAATTACGATAAAAAGCACTGTTACAAATTCTCGAGACACACAAGTGGAATCGTCGTCTGGAGTCGGAAGTCGCTTGTTTAAGTTGCACAGATCTGCAAGATGTAACACATATCGATCAAACTGGAACGACATGCTGACCTTTAACTTCAAATCCAGAAAGATCATTGTCATGTATTTGGAGTAAAAAAAAATCTCATCTCATGTGTATTTGAAACAAATAAAAACTCGTGAAATTACACTCGTGAGTAATCGATATGTGTGTACATTCTCATATAAATGGTATTGAAAAGAGTTGCAAATTACGTGTTAATGAAGAAACCCGAATGAATAAATAAATGTTGATGTTTACATGTCGCGCAACAGTTCTGTGAAACCAATTATCGCGTGCTGCGCGCTCACAAGCACCAGTTCATTAAAGAGCGAACTCCAACAGTCAACCGACAATGGCATTCGAAAGAGAGAGAGAGAGAGAAAGAGAGAGTCATTTGATACGCGACATAAAGACGAGATCTTCAATTTTCCGAAGCTATTCTCCGACCTTGAATAAGTAATGTCACGCGAGGCACGTACCTTAACTACCTTGAAAGGAGGTAAGTCGAGGCCGTGTGGAAGCGCATACTCGCGGATATTGCTGCATACTTGCCGCTATCAACATCCACAAACTCCGACAACGCGTCTTTAGAGGTTCTTGATCCTCAAGAAGCTCTTCTTGATAATGTAACATTGTCACGACGATCGTACTTGACTCGAACAATTGTTGCCCGTTTGCATTTTCCTAATCAACTTGAAAACTGATTGTTCAATTGATTGTTTGTAAATCTCATAATTATATAATTAATCCTCGGAGAACACACTGGGTCAATTTGACCCTGTTCGTCGACTTTGAAATCAAAATATTTTGCTTCAATTTTGCTTTTTTGTAACATATTTTTTACAATGTTAATAATGTTAACGACACTTTAAAACTATATATAGACATATTCCAAACTGTTCAAAATATATCCGAAAAGTTTTTCAAGCCAATCGGATAAGCGCATTTTAAATGGTAGCATCTCAAAAAGTGGACGGGGTCAAATTGACCCAGATTGTTCTTCTTGATTGAAAAAATAGATGTGTTCCCCCGAAGGTTAAACTGACGAAAAAATTACTTAACAAACACGTGCAAGTAATTTGTTTATCTGTGTGTTTGCAGCTGTCTTATGTGTTAGAAGATAATCTTTGGAATAGAATATAAGTAATTTAAAAACAAGTGAAACAGATTTTACTTCTCGACTGAATGGAGCGAAAATAGTTCCGAACAATACATGATCGATCACGACCTCGAATACCGCCAATCGTGTATATCCAATGTGTATTTTTTTTTTAACACCTACGGTGTGTCTTGCTCAAAAATATTTATAACCGCGCTGTGTCGAAATACTCCCACGGACACTTATGCATTATTCCTCCGTTTAATTGATTTTATTGAGGATGTTCGAGAATACCTACTTTCTTCGCATCGATCGATCGCGAGTATCAGTTCAAGGTTTTTCCGAAACATTAGCGATTTTATGTACAGAAAGAAAAAAAAACAATCTTGTGCGAAGATTTAATATAAAATACATTGTCCTCTAGTTTAAATAAATCGTTACTCGAATAAGCACGAGTCGAAATATGTTTGCAGACTTTTCGTTTGACAATTTCTTTTTTTCTTTTTTTTTTTTTTTTACGAGCTTAACCGACAGAAGGCGATTTATTAGGAATAAAAGCTGTACATGAGCGGAGGAACATCTCTCGAGAGAGGCAGGCACGGCGATGCGGAGCAGAAGAGCTTCGTCGGCCTTGCGGATCGTTTCTGTTTAGCTTCGTACTACTTGTTTTATTCCTCCTGGTCGTCGTTGTCGTCTTCTTCTTCTTCTTCTTTTTCCGCTTGGAGGCTCGACTGGCTCTTTCTTTCTTCGCTTCGTAAAAGAAACTCGCTGAGTCGGCGTCTCGTTCACGACTCGCACTATGCACCGCGCGAGGTGAAGCGCCGTTAAACAAAACGCAGGGAGAGAAAGAGAGAAAGAGAAAGAGACAGAGAGAATGCGCGTGCGTACATATATCAATTTACTAATCTCGCGCTCGATCATCGACCATCAAGCCAAGCAGTAACAATTCGTAATTGACGACACAGAGGATGGGCGGATTAATGCCAGATTGAGTCGACTGCGAATCCGTAATGAGTTATTGTGTCGATGTCTGCGTAAGTGACTTCACATGTAGGTCGTTTACCGAGTCGAAACACAGTTGCGAACACTGTTATCAACGACCTGTGAAAAATCTATGACTGATAATAACATCGGGTGTGGCGCGAATCCAGATACCGTGATGTAACGTTTGGCTGATCGGTTAACAGATGATGATGATTCACTGTTGTGAGTTATTAACGAGCGAACGAAGTTTAAAAGAAAACACGTGTGTGTGTGTGTCAGATAAATAATGGAAAAACTTATCAAATGCGATCGCGTCAATACGTAAATAAAAATTAGGTTTTCATCGATTCTCATATTTCATACAGGCATTGATCTAAAACCGACGATGAGAAGAGATAACTCTTTTTACACGAAAATTAATCTAATAAGAAATTATTATCGTTTTGTTTTTTTTGTTTTGCAAAATCTCAACTAAATGTTCTCTTGAATATTTTGTGTTTGTCGCGGTCTGTTTGTGCGACATCGCGCGCTTTCTTAGACAACGCGTTGGTCCGGGAGTCAAATTTGTCTTCGACGACGACGGCATGTAAACGACTCATCGATAAAAATATCTCTGGTATATGGGGCAGTTCGTAAAGTCGCCCTCGTACGTGAAATGAGACTTGCAGAGTAAATGGCCGGCTCTTTCTAATATCAGACGCTCAGCTTACATAATTACCCCTGTATTTCGGTCAGCCTCTCGATCGTCGCACGGTGTCGTATAAATTCGCAATATATTTAACTTTCTGATCGAATAGAATTTTAATTGCACATCGCTTTAAAATAATTGCGCGATTGGAATTGAATTTTAATATTATAAAAAATTCTAACTTCAAATAAAAATTAATTCACGCGCGAAGATAATTCGAATCCGCGACGTGTTTAATACGATATTAACGTAATATTTTCGAAATAAAAATGCATATTTATATATTCCGTGACAACAAAAAAGAGAGAGATTAAATCCACATGTTCCTAAAATATTATTAAGCGAGCGATTCGAAAATATACTGTATCGATGACATTTGACATTATTATGGAAGCGATAAGAAAATCGTTCTACTTGTTCTACTTCGAACGTTTTTTCTTTAGCATTTCTCACTCGACGCAACCAAATATAAACCACGAATATTTTTTACCGTGCTGGTCAAAGTGTCATTCTTTCTTTGACGCTTTTTATTTCATTTTTTTTTTTTTTTTTTTTTAAATTTCTATCAAGTATAAAAAAATATTAAAATGTTGTGCATGTTGTGTTTATGTTTACAAAAAACGTTCCTCTCTGTACAGAAACAACTTTATTAATAAGTAAATAAAATAAAATAAATTTTATCGAGTGTTCTGTTAATTAAAACGAAAATAACAAATAAATAAAATGATGTATGAAAGCTAGTTACTTTGGAATCCTCATCACGGAGAATTCCGTGATAAATGTAACTGTTTTACTTTATGCAAGACTCGCGTTTCCCGTTTACAAAGCGAGAATCGTGTGTGTATCGCGTGCTAAATGCGCGGCGAGGATGCAATCTCAACCGCGGATGTGCCGCTCTTAGAGCGCTTTTTTTTTTAAAAGTTAGCACGCCGCGCTAAGATATTCGAGGTAATCCGAACCGCTGATCGCCGGCGGGACGACCGTTGCGGATTCACCGTATGTGAGCGTAAACGTACCGTGACGATCGCGAAACAAAATGCGTAAGCGCGCCGCAGGTGGACGCGATGCAGAAATGGAACGGGAACTGAAGAGAAGAGAATAGCGCAGGCTTGGTATACCGTTGCTTAGAAAGTGCACGCGTCAAATGTAAACCGAGGGGTTTTTGCCGCAATAAACATTCGCCGCGCGCATTCTTGAAATTTATATATAAATTATAATGCGCGTGTGCGGCGCGCAACGCGTTGCGTGGAAAGAAACAAAACAAATTTGCGGGAATTTAAGTTCAGGTGTAAAAACTTTCTTTTCGATCTCTCGATCGAATTCTGTCCGATAAAACTTCTTCGATCGATGATGACAATCACGCGTGTGCGATTTACATTTTGTCAAATTTCAAAACACGCGGTCCGAACGTAGCGTGTTTGTCGACCGACGTTCGTGATCTGATCGTCAACAAACTAGATTGGATCCAGAGATGCTGACGGCGATATTTCGGACAGTGTACGCTGTCACAAAGGGTCGTCTGTTAAAAGCGCGACACGCTACTGGCGTAACACCCTTCCTCGTCCTTCGTGCCGGTTTGCCCAATACGTTTTCTCTTTGACAGCTTCATGCAACACGGGGCGCAAAAGAACATAAACATAAAACTGGAAATTATCAAAGGTATAACCGTATCCGTTCGGATATTCTTTCGCTACGCGAAACAATCGATTGCGATTTTGTGTGTATCGCTGGTTTCGTTTTTGCGACCTACTATTTTTTCACATCGAGCTTTTTTGAGAACCGCGACTCTCCCATCGATCTCGCATTCGAGACCCGCTGCTCTATGACACCGTTCGCGAAAGACGCGCGCATATTTCATATCAAAGAATTTCAAAGCTCGTGATACATATACAACGTTCAACC